GCCCCCCGCGCTGGCCTGCTTCACGGCCTCTGCCAGGCCCGAGTCTCCGGGGTGGTTTTCCCCGCCGTCCCTCCAAGTTAAAAAAAAAAAAAAAGAGGAATTCCCAGGGCCGCCACTTGGCCGGCCGGTTTGCTGCGGGAGAGCATAGGGCGTGGCGGGCGGGTTGGAGCCCAAGTCGGGCCGAGGGCGAGGCCTCGTCTGGGGGCCTCGTCTGGGAGCCTCGGGGTTCAGGCGAGCTGTCATCCCGCTAGTTAAGAGTTGTCTCTTTGGGGTTTCTGTCGGGCTTTTTCTAAATACGTAATATTCTCTACTGGAAGTTCATGACATTCCTTAGATCACATTCCTGGCCTATTTTGGTGCACCCTGTTGCCCCTGCTTTTATGGTTTTGTTTTGTTTTGTTTATCTAAGTCAACTGTGAAAGAACTTGTTGGTCTTCCACTTGAATAATTCACTTTGGTCTAAGGTGCCAGAGTTTAAGCTGTGGACCACCTTTTAAAATATGGGTAATTGTTAGTTCTCATTCTGCTACCTCGAATAGAGATAAAAAGACAAAAGTGGCATTGTGCCTTTCCTTTCTTGGGGGAAAATAATATTGACAATAGAGTTGCGTCTTAGGTAAGACGTGGAGCTCGGTGGGTGTTGAAAGAGGGTAGTGATTTCATCCAGGTCTTAGAACAGAACAAAGTTCTCCGGGTGAAGTTATGCATATTATGAGTAGGTTATAGGCTATCATGATCTTTAAACAATATTCGTATTCTAGAATCTGAAAACAATTTTGCATTTTAGCTATACCTCTGATAAACTTATCTTTAAAATCACTTCATAAAGTCTTAATTTTTTTAGATGCTTAAGGATTTGAAATCTCATTCTGTAATATGTTATGAAATTTTATATATTTTAAAAGTTTGACAACACATTTTCATAGTTTTCCTCATTTAATGTTCTCTGGGTATATTGGAGTAAGAGATTTGTACATAACAAGAAATAAATTAATGAAACGCTGTGGGCTGCCAGTTGTGTGACCATGATCATTGCAAAATTTTAACTCCTTTATCTGTTTCAAGGAAAGATTTCATTTAAAGAGAAAGTTGGCTTATTTTTCTAGCTAAATATACATTATTGTAAATGTAATAAAGTATGGAAAATAACCCAGAGTACGTATCTTCTGGATCTGAAGAGAATAAATGACTACTAAAATAGAAGCGTATGCTTTTTAAGGTAGTTAGTACAAAAACAACACGTATATAACCTTAAAGGGATGTTCTAACCAGAAGTTTGTTACTATTTCTTTCTAGATCTAGCTTTCGTGAAAGTGAGATGTCACTTGTGTTGTTGAGAAATCATTGCACAACAAAGGATATCTTAACTAATTAGTGGGTTATTTTTCCAGTTTATTTCACATCCTTAGATGTGAAATAAAGTGTAATGAGCATGTGTGTTAGCAACCAGGAGATTGGGATTATGAAACGAGTGCTGCCAGTTGTGTGACCTTGTGTGTGGTACCTGACCACTCTGGGCTTTCATTTCTTCTTTTGAAAAATGAGGTTGCAGTAGAAATCTCTCAGATCCTATTTAATGTTTGTTTGTTTGTTAGTTTGTTTAAAGAGAGGCTACTCTTGGTTGACCTCACAGAATGCAAGGACCTCATCAGCTTACAATCCCTTATTTTTTTATTTTTTACACCTACAGCACCTGGTCTTCCTTGGTGGTCTCCCATCCAAGTACTAACCAGGCCCGACCCTGCTTAGCGTCCGAGATCAGACAGGATAGGGCTTGTTCAGGGCAGCATGGCGGTAGACACATCCAATTTAATGTTAAATGTATAAGATTCTTTGATTCCATGGTGAAGAAGTTGCAAAGTGTTTCAGAAACTGGAAGGAATTATAGAGATCTTCTATTATGTAAATTGCTGTCCCTCCTATGTTCCTTTATCCCCAACCTTTTTGTCTAATTTTGTGTAAATTAATAAATGCAGATTAGTTATAATCACACTTTATTATAAATTTGGTCTTCTCTTAAGAGAATGGTGGTAGTTACTCCTTCCATCTATAGCTATTCATGGAAAGGTTTTTGCACTTTTAACTTTGAAAATATGGAAGTTTAAATATACATCCTTTAGAGCAGTGGTTCTTAATCATTTTCAGTTTGTGGATTCCTTTCACTATCCAATAGAGAAGTGGACTCTGCCTAGAAAAATGCATGTGTAGAATTTAGAATACATTTTGAGCAACCAGTGTATCCCTGGCTAAGATCTGCTGACTTACACTGAGTCTGCATTAAAATATGTTGCTTTGCACCATACATTCCCTGCCTTTCCTGACAAAGTATCATTGATGACATTGTAGTAAGGGTTAACAATTATGTAAGAAAAACCCTTGGCTCAGTGTTTGGCACATTGTCAATGTTCAGTAGATAATAGTCAATACTATTGTTTTTATTTTTATTATTATTTAGGCATCGTTGTTACTACTATATAAAGTTATGTTAACCTATGTTTTTGTAATAATGTTTTCTGAAATGACCAAGTATACATACATTCCTTTTTTATTCTTAAATTATGGTTGACTGAAATTTTTAGTGAAATTTTCACTTTATTAATTTAAAGTTTTCTGTTGGAGAGAGAAGAAAAATTTAGGTAGTCTTTTAAGATTCTTCTTAGAACTCTCACCTAACTCAAGTTGAAAGTAAATAAAAGTAGTTATAGTCAAGTGGATTCAGTGTTAAGTAGAAAAATCTACAGATTGACTTTCTGTTTTACTTTTTGTGGTGCTGGTTTTATGGTAAACACAAGAAAGCAAAACCAAGGAAAGGCAAATTAATCCTTCAAATACCGTCAATGATACTGGGTTTGGGAACTCTCAGGAGGCCACTCTGTTTTGCAGTATACTCTGTACAAAAACAAGCAAACAGAAAACTAACAGCAGTAATTACAACCTATAGAAATATTTTTCTGCAGCTCAGATGTCTGATAGCTATTGCCTTGACTTTATTAATGCAAACAGGTCACTAGAACAGTCTTATCCAACTTTCAGAAGATAATGTGAGGGAAGATTGATTAATTTTATAAATCCAGGACTTTAACACAAGCTTAGATTTTATTTTTGAAGAACTTCGAATAGCTGGCACTTCTGCCTCATATTTAATAAAATAATTCTGGGAGATGCAAAATCTTGGAGTACTTTTCTGGTGTCTTTTGCTTTCATTTCACCCCTTTTTAGTTTCTTTACCATTTCCTAGGTTAAGGCCTTTGTTAATCTCTTACCATAACCATGGCAGTTGTCTTCTGTTGATTCTCCTGCATTTTTTTTTTTGCTGGCATTAACTTTTCAAAATGTAAAGCAGTACTTGCCATTTCTTTCTTTAAAAGCCTTCAGTAGCTGCCTATTGCTTTCGTAATTTCATACACCCTGCAAAGCATTTGTCAGAGTATACTCTGGGCATCATGTGATCTTTCTACCTTTACTCTTCAATAGTTTATCTTTTTGTCTCATTTAGGTAGTCATTCTCCATGTTACAAATGCTAGACACCTCTCTGTTTTCACTTGAATTCAGAGTGGATTACACATCAGATTGAAAAAATAATAATTTGTTGCAGTCTAAGAGACGTATTTTCCCCCCTTTCATTCGCGTAAAGCATGACACATTGGTAATATTTTCTCAGAAGGATATAACAGTTTAAAAAAAAAAAGGCGTAAACATTTTCACACTTTGGGGAGCATGGGGAATATGTTTTCTAGTAAACTACTTTGCTTTTGGGAGTCTTTAAGTACCTTTCCAATAATTAATTCCTCTATAGATACCTGCACTGAGGCACTGTTTAGGGGACAGACCTACATCAGCTATTCTTAGATGCGTCTAATTTGTGACAAAATCTAACAATCATGAACACATTTATCAAATGATTAGAAAGAAAAGTCAAATTTCTAATCTGTCTTTTTAACCTCTCTTTTAGCCTGCTCTTGAGGTTCACAGATGATACTTTTGACCCAGAACTCGCAGCAACAATAGGTAAGTCTATGTTTAAAATTTTACTAGAAACTCCAGGTCATTCTTTGCCTTTGGGCTGTTAAATCTAACTCCCTCGACCCTCCTCTCATTACCCCATTGCTTCCGTGTCTGTTGAAATCTTACTTGTCTTGCGCGGCCTAACTTTGGTGTCATTAAATTTCTGAGGCCTCAGTAGATCTTACCAAGCTAAGTTAACTTCCTTAGCTGTTGTCTCACGGCACTTTGTTAACACTCTGAGTGTTATGATTATCTGCAAACACAGTTTCTTTCCTGTACTGTGGATTGTCTTTTATTTAGCAGCATCCAGTTATCTGAACATGTATTGTATGCCAGGCAATGTCCTAAGAGGTGGGGTTATAATGATGGATAATACAAACTTGGTCTCTATTATCATGGGCCTAACTGTATCACCTAACAATAGAATGTGTTAATTTTGTTCTTTTAGCATTTGCTACAGGATCTGGAATACTCAACATACTCATCAATATTAGTAAAGATTGTTAGGAGCAGTGATACCTAAATGCCTTTTTAAAATGAAATATAGAAAACCTGATAGTGGTTTAAAAATGAAATTTAGTTTTCCTGAGAGTGGTTTGCCTCACCAACTTCTTAGAGTATATGAGACGATAGAGCTAAATATTCTGGTGTCATATTTGAGGAGTAGACGGCAATATACAGGTGTGAAGAGACAGCTTGCAGTAGTTGGAAGAGCTGAGACAGCAGTACAGTTGTCTGGGCTCTGCCTCGAACTGGTTGTGATCTTGAGCAAGGCATTTAACTTCATTGCCTTCATCTGTAAATTGAGCAGTTTTTTGGTGAGAGAGAATACATTTTTCTTCCAGCTCTAAAATTTCATGAGTTGATGAGTAGAATGTAGTAAAAATGATTCAAGCATTAATGTTAGGGAAAATACTTTTTCTTAACTGGCTTTATTTTTATTTATTGTGGGTCTGTTTTTTTCCTTTTTCTTTTTAATTTCATACTTAAAAAAAAAAAGTTGTAAAACTAGTACGAAGAATTCCTGTATATCCACTCAAATTCCCTAAATGTTAATATCTATCAAATTTGCTTTATCATTCTCTCTACATACACACAGTTCTTGTTTTTTTTTCAAATTGTTTGAGAGTAAGTTGCAGACATCATGTCTTTAATCTTTGACTATTGTGTATTTCCTAAATGAATGTGGATCTATTTCTGCTATAAACAGGCAAATTTCATCAATTGTCCCACTGATATCTTATATAAAGAAAAAGAATTGTTTCTGGTCCAGGATCGCACATTGAATTTAGCTGTTGCTTCTCTTTATCTCTTTTAATCTGAATAGTTCTTCAGTCTTTCTTTGTCTTTCATAACCTTGACATTTTTGCAGGGTATATATGAATTGGTTTTATAGAATTTCCTTCAATTGCATTTGCCCAATGTATCCTCATGGTTAGATTCAGGTTATGCATTTTTAGCAGGAATTCCGCAAAAGGGCTCCTCCGAGCGTGGTGTATATTTGTACCATTACTGGTGATGGGACTTTGGTTCCTTAAGGTGATAAATGCCAGGTTTCTGCACTGCAAGGTGTTATCCTGTCATTCCAGCTGTGGTGGTTGTCAGATGATGATTTTTAAAATCCATTATTCTGTTTACATTTCTTATTTAGAATTCAGTGAGGAAGAGTTCTTGGTTTCTTTCTATCAACATGAACTCATAATACCTCTAAATATTTCATAAATTATATCAGGCATTACTTAGCTTTTGTGTGACATGTAAACATTTACAGATTTAGTCTGTTGTGTGAAAGAGAATTATGTAAAACAGTAGTAACTCATCCATTTTAATTTGGCTTTGGTATGTTATTTGCTTCTTTAAAAAAATGTTAGTTGTAAAAGTTTATTTTGCTCATAACATGCTTAGTAGTATATAATGAGTGGAAAAATAGTAACTGGCAGGAAAATAAACTTGCCTAGAGTTAAAGTTTTATTAAGAGAATGATCTTATGTTATAATATATTGCTATCTACCTTCATTTCAAGTGGAAATAGAATCTGGGGACTTGCAGAATGACAGATCATGTGTTGGCCTTATTACTAAAAAGGCTTTGTCTGCTTTAAAAACAGATATTAAGATCGTGGCATACTGCTGAGAATATACATAAATTTGTACCCCAAACGGGTCCTGGGTCTAAAAAGTATCTTTTACATTTAGGTTTCAGATTATTTTCTGTCTTTGGTTATACACGAGTTTGTAAAATGAAAACAATTAGCTCAATTGTTAATGGCTTTGTGAAAATTAGTGTTTTGTGGAAAATTAATATTTTCCCTCACAGTAAAATAGTAAAGAAAGCACACCTTTATCTTTCAGTAATATGGTGAGACACATAAATTTGTCTTGTAGAAAATATTCTTTAAAGATAATTGCTAAATTTAGGTTTTGAAGATGGTACTTTAAAGTTGACATTTCTTCTTTTGTTTTCTGGCAGTTAGCCAATAACAACAAAGAGAGGGGAAAAACTAAAACACAAACCCATATTTCTCTAAACTAGAAGACAGCTAAAACCCTAGACCACAAAATAGATGGCATTGCTGCCAAAAGCAGTGGAGGTTCATTTAAGCAGACTGCACGTGGGAAGAAGGTAGAGCGAAGATACCACAGCTGCAGAGCTTGGCACCAGCCAGAGATGCTTTATACAGTTGAGGGCCCACCTAATGTGAAAAACCCAAATCCCTTGTTTGCAAAAGCAAAATCAGTTTCTTGAGCTAATGCCAGGAGTTTCTCTGCACTTGGTTTGATTGTAAGAATTTGGGGAGATGAAGCCAAACAAGGACTTACACAAGTAAGCTACTTTTGCGATTGTGTCTGTAGCAGTAGGGGAGGAGCTGTGCCTTTGCCTTGTGACAGACTTCAAGGCTACTTGTCTGCACTGGCTGGTGAGAAATAAAAAACTAAACAATATCTTGTAGAATCCTGAATTAAGAAAAAGTATTGGCGGTCCAGAACTGGAGCCACTCTGGCTTTCTGCATGACTGTCTTATAAAATAGCTTGTTCAGGAAAACCTCATCTTCAAAGATGGGAAATCAAAAGGAATCCAGCTCAAGGCCACTACCACCATTCAAGAATCAAAAAGAATCAGAAAAAAACAAATACAAAGGAGAAATCAAGAATACCCACCAGAAAAAATATTGCTATAAAGAAGATGAAGGGAAGAGATAGTGCGACTACATGAGAAAATGCAGCGTAAGGTTATTGAGTAAAAAAAAAAAAACAAGTAAGATGATAATATAAAACCCAAACTGAAATGAAGGTGAAATTGGAAGGATCACAAGGACCAATGAGACTTGGAAAACACAGTAAAGGACATAGAAGCTAGAAATGGACTAAATGGGTAAAATTGACCAAAATGAATAAAAATGTTCAAACATATTAGAGATAGGTAGATATAGAAATCAGAAAAAGAGATCCAACATATGCATGTTTGAGTCTCAGAAGAAACATAATGAAACACAACACATTATTTAAAGATATAATTCAAGATAAGATTTCTAACATAAAAATGAACACACAGAATCACAAGAATTTTTTTGACCAGGTTTTTTGTTACATGGAAGTGTTTATAAAAAGGTATTAAGATTTCTTTTTCTGCTATGACAAGGCCATGTAATAGTACTTAATCAGGTACTTAGCCAAGACACATAATCAACTGCATAGATAGAACTGGTTGAAATTTAAGCATTGAGAATAGACCCTTGTGGAAGTAATTGTACTAACTTTATGTAATTTGATTAAATAGGCAAAATTTGCTTTATTTTCAAGTTTTTTAAATCTGTTTTAGGTAGTCATTGAATATAAGAGTGCTTTAAGTAAAAGTGTTTTCAAATTAAAAAATAGAAAATTTGAAACTAGTTCTCTACTTAAGACAGGCTCAGAACCTATTTCTTAATCTGTAGGACTTATAATTGTTAAAATATAAGAAAATTTTTTGAGGGTGGTTATTCGAGGGTCGTTCCACTAAAGTTAGACAAATTTTGGTTGTTATTGGTTGATGATTTTTATCGGTGATTCTTATCACTTCCTTAGTAAGCTTTTAAAAAATACTCATGACTGTGCGCTCATATTACCAATTAGGCTTCTAAGGGCAGAGACCAAATCTGTTCCTTTTATAAGTTACCTTATAGTTTAGACTTTCTTATCAAAGATAATTTAATTAAAATGGAAAGTAGTGTGAGTTTATACTTGTTTGATTCCATAATATAAACTTATTAAAAATATTTGGAAATAAGGGACAATTCAAAGAAAAATATAACTTTTATTTTATATAATTTCATTCAAATAAACATTTTAATTAGAATAAAGTGATAAAAATGGCACTAGCATTTCTTTATTTAGAATGATGCAAATGGCAAATGCTTCATCATAGTTAAGTAGTTTCTTTTTTCTATTTTACGTAGAGGTTTTCTTAGGAAAGGTTGTGGGGTTTTTTTCATATGCCCTTTTGGCATTAATGGTTGATAGACTTTTTTAATACTGAAATATTACTTTTCTCAATAAGTCTTCGCTCATATTGTTTGACATTTCTGAATTCTGTTGACTAATATTTTAGAATTTTTACGTCTATTTTTATACAGAAGATGTTCTCTGCTTTTTTGTATTTTTTTAAAAATCAGGATTTGGTATTAAAGTTGTACTGGTTTATAAAACAAAGGAGCTTTCCATCTTTTTAAGTTGTCTTTTCTAGCTTCAATATTACTGGAATTATGTGTTCTTTAAAGGTTACATTTCACCTGTGAGTCAGCCTGATCCTGTTCCCTTTACCATTCTAGCTGCTTTAGGTTTTCTCTTACTTAAAACAGTTTTGGGTGTGTTACTGGGGAAGCATCTCAACTTATCTCTTAAGTTAGTCGCACATAGTACTCTTTTAAACTCTTCATTAACTGTGCTTATGCTCTCTCATTTCTAAGCTTGTATATTTTGTTTTATTTTAGTCTTTTTCTAAGGAATGTATCTTTTATTGTTTG